CAGCTGTATTACACTTAACTCCAGTATGTTTGATCTCACTCCATCTATGTTGGTGTATGCAATCTTCAGGAACTTGTTCCCCCTCTCCTTATTCTTCACTCCCCCTCTCTCTATTGATTTTGTTGGTTTGCCTTTATGTACCACTTTACTGGTTTGCCTACCCCTATCACTTTGTAGAAAAAAGAATTTATTTCTTCTTCATTCCTGCTCTCATTTAAATGTTTTGCCTCGGCGAGGTTCAGTTTCAGCTTCTCTCTATCTTCTTTTGAAAGATCTCGTCTTAACGACCACCCTTTCCCATCCTCATCCCTTTGCAATTTTCTAGCATTCCTTAGTACTTCTTCCATCTGTTTGGCACCGTTTAGGGTGATCCTCAAAGGTCGATCTTTCCCTTTTACGTACCTGCCTGTTCTCCTGTAGTCGCACACATTCTCTCTGTTTGTAAGACCTTCCACGAGGCCAACAATTTTATCTACTACTTTAGCTTCTTCTACAGCTCTTTCTGACCTAGATGTTATCGCCTTTTCTTTGCAGCCAAAAATGATCAGGGACTTACTCAGATGAACTGTGTTTTGCACCAACTTCGGGTTAGATGCCAATTCTTTCCTCACTTCTAGCCTAATGTTTGTTTTATCTTGGTTGCTGCAGTGTTTGACTTCCTTTACTGCTTCTTCTATTTTTTCCTTCTCCTTGGCCACTTGTGCATAAGTGAGTTGCATATCTTTCTTGCACTGTTCTATTCCCTGTGTAACTTCCTCTATCTGTGCTGACAAAAGCTGTTTCTCCTGTTGAATTTCCTTGCCTAACCTATTGTAGTCATTTATGTTTAAATTTACTTTAACTTTTTCCAAAGCTATTTTTAAGAGTTTATTTTCTTCTTCCATGGCTTTGCAATTTGTTTCCAATTGATTCTTATCCTTGCGCAAGTCTTTCACTAAACCCTCAAGACATAAAACTTTGCTATTCAAATGGTCATTACTTTCTTTCAATTTACTAATTATTTCTACATGAGAGTTCACTATAGTATCTAAATTTACCAACTTGTTATGTAGACTACTAATATCAATGCTTTCTTCATTGAATCCCTCAAAATCAAGCTCTGTTTTGTTTTTCCCCTTGCCAGTGGCCATCTTGAATGTTCTTCTCTGCACTGTAAACACTAGGGGCAACTTTTGCTCATCCGATTTTTCACTTCCCTTAGCACTTTCCTGTTATCTCACCTATTTTTCAAGAGCACTATACCTTTATGTTCTCTGGGACACCACTCACTACCATCAACCTGTACTACAATACTTAGGATTGTTGAAATATGCTGGAGCTCCTCTGCTGCAAGTGTTGACCCTAGGGGTGTCACCTTTTGTGTGTGTGTGTGTGTGTGTGTGTGTGTGTGTGTGTGTGTGTGTGTGTGTGTGTGTGTGTGTGTGTGTGTGTGTGTGTATATATATATATACTGTATATATATATGTCGTACCTAGTAGCCAGAACGCACTTCTCAGCCTACTATGCAAGGCCCAATTTGCCTAATAAGCCAAGTTTTCCTGAATTAATATATTTTCTCTAATTTTTTTCTTATGAAATGATAAAGCTACCCATTTCATTATGTATGAGGTAAATTTTTTTTTATTGGAGTTAAAATTAACGTAGATATGTGACCGAACCTAACCAACCATACCTAACCTAACCTAACCTATCTTTATAGGTTAGGTTAGGTTAGGTAGCTGAAAAAGTTAGGTTAGGTAGGTTAGGTAGTCGAAAAACAATTAATTCATGAAAACTTGGCTTATTAGGCAAATTGGGCCTTGCATAGTAGGCCGAGAAGTGCGTTCTGGCTACTAGGTACGACATATATATATATATGTCGTACCTAGTAGCCAGAACTCACTTCTCAGCCTACTATGCAAGGCCCGATTTGCCTAATAAGCCAAGTTTTCCTGAATTAATATATTTTCTATAATTTTTTTCTTATGAAATGATAAAGCTGCCCTTTTCACTATGTATGAGGTCATTTTTTTTTATTGGAGTTAAAATTAACGTAGATATATGACTGAACCTAACCAACCCTACCTAACCTATCTTTATAGGTAAGGTTAGGTTAGGTAGCCAAAAAAAGCTAGGTTAGGTTAGGTAGGTTAGGTAGACGAAAAAACATTAATTCATGAAAACTTGGCTTATTAGGCAAATCGGGCCTTGCATAGTAGGCTGACAAGTGCGTTCTGGCTACTAGGTACGACATATATATATATATATATATATATATATATATATATATATATATATATATATATATATATATATATATATATATATATGTCGTACCTAATAGCCAGAACGCACTTTTCAGCCTACTATTCAAGGCCCGATTTGCCTAATAAGCCAAGTTTTCATGAATTAATGTTTTTTCGTCTACCTAACCTACCTAACCTAACCTAACCTAGCTTTTTTTGGCTACCTAACCTAACCTTACCTATAAATATAGGTTAGGTTAGGTTAGGTAGGGTTGGTTAGGTTCGGTCATATATCTACGTTAATTTTAACTCCAATAAAAAAAAATTGACCTCATACATAGAGAAAAGGGTTGCTTTATCATTTCATAAGAAAAACATTATAGTAAATATATTATTTCAGGAAAACTTGGCTTATTAGGCAAATCGGGCCTTGAATAGTAGGCTGAGAAGTGAGTTCTGGCTACTAGGTACGACATATATATATATATATATATATATATATATATATATATATATATATATATATATATATATATATATATATATATATATATATATATATATATATATATACACACACACACACACACACACACACATACATACATATACATACTGTATATGTCGTACCTAGTAGCCAGAACACACTTCTCAGCCTACTATGCAAGGCCCGATTTGCCTAATAGGCCGAGTGATTTTCTTTATTTTCAATAAATTGTTTCCAATTAGTTTATTTGAATTATTATTATGATAGTATATTAAGACCATAATTTATTGACTTAGTTGTGTTAGTTTAGGTTAAGTTAAGATAGGTTAGTTTAGGTTAGGTAGGATTGGTTAGGTTCGGTCATATATCTTCGTTAATTTTAACTAAAATTTAAACAAATTAGCTTTTACATAATGAAATGGACCGATTTACCATTTCATAAGAAAAAATTAGAAAAAAATTTAAATTCAGGAAAACTTGGCTTATTATGCAAATAGGGCTTTGCATAGTAGGCCAAGTACGACATTCTGGCTACTAGGTACAACATACATATATACATATATTTATATAAATATGTATGCATGTGCGCTCTATCCAACATGCACTTACTGAACAGAATCAAGGTTTTGTGTAATTGTAAAGGGTCTTAAACTGCCGGTGACAAATACACCGGCAACATCTGCTCCTAAACAATTGTCAGGTAGACTCCTGGGCATTTCATGGTTCCTAGTGTAATGTGTATGGGGTAAAGCTCTTTGGTCATTACTACTGATAAACCATATAAAGCTCCTCAGACTAATGGATTACTGATAAAATTTTCTCGCATATGCAAGACTATCCACTTTTTTTAATTTTTCTTTGGCTCAAAATCTAAATATCATTGGCATAAAGATAATGTAATGTGATGTCCAAGCTTGAGCAGCTACTTACATTAGACATGACTGCCAGTGGCCATCGACTCTACCAAGGTCACAGCTATTTAAGATGTATCACACGTAGGAACCAGCCACCACTAGTTTTCACCAATCTATCAGCTGAAAATATTCCTCCACCTGTGGATGTAGGTGATCACTGGCTTTACCTAACTTTAAAGATGTAAATACTTCATCTCATTGCACTGATATGCAAATTTGAAAACAATTTTGATACAACTTCCCAAGCTTCTCTAGGATGTTTTATAGCAAATGTTCAAGATCCATATTGTTATATAGAAAATAATTAAAAAGTCTACATGCAGGACAAGAGTGATGTTGCATTATGGTGAAGGAGAAGTGTTGAAGTCTTAAGTCTTGCACTTGCTCTCTCCAGTCATCTGCACAGTTTTAACAGCCACAAAAAAATATATTCCTACCATAATGAAACTATCATCCTTTTTAAAAACACTGTTTCTGGTTTAGAACAATGAGAGGGCAAAGCTCGGTAAATGTTTCATCTTGTCAATAAGAGACTGAACTCATAAGGAATATGGCTTTTACTTACAATAAAGCAAGCATCTTAAAGTGTGACTCTAACACCAACACATGCACTACTAATACCCCACGATTTCTGAAAATTTAATTTGCCCAGTGTATTTTAATCAATTTTTTCAACCAGCTTCAAAGTATTCCACAAGACACTTCCATAATGCATCTTGAACTAATATGTCAAGACTGTTTTAAATATTGAAGGCATGACGACCAAACCACACACCAGAAGATGAGGAGACGAGGACATTTCAGTCCGTCCTGGACCGTTATCGTGTTGTCTTAATCCAGGACAGACTAAAACGTCGTCTCATCTTCTGACATGTTGTTTGGTCATCATATCTTTGGCCACATTACTGTGACTCATCATCTACTAAAGGCACATTGTTAAACTACATCCTTCCCACATCTTGACGTCAGATGTACAATACACTAACTAATTATCTGAAAGTGCTATATAGCACTATATTTCAAGTGTAGAGCTCATTCTCAATAAATAATATAGTATTGAATTAGTTGTTCCTGACTACCTATTACTTTTACAACCTAGAAAAAAATCATGCCATCTTTAAATATCAGAGCTTCTGAGTATACAATTCTGTAAATAGTTTTTCATTAAGACGTAAATTTCTAAAATACAGTAAAATGAAAAATTGTGAAACACGTTTATATGGAGACTGTATATTCAACCTCGGTCACTGATTGCCATTCTCATGTGTTTATGGTTTGGTCCAGTGTGGCTTCTGTAGATTATATAGACAGTGAGACTGTCCAACAGTGGAATCAGAAACATTAATATTACTATAATATTCAAGCCCCCTCTAAAAAAAAAAAAATCAGTACTGTCCGAGGCTACCCTGGAAGAGGTGCTATTGGTGAGGTTACCAGTGGCACCTTGTCAAGACATTAATTTGGCAAGATAATGATGAATACTCACCAAGACTTGAACAAATGCATTGTGTGTGTAGTCTCTTAACAACCATACCAATAGCACCTCAAACACAAGGAGAGATATTAAGAGTTAACTTTCTTCTATATGACACTTTAATAAAACTAATTATTCTACATATAAAAGCATTGCCATATTTCTCATGTCAATATAACTTTGCTTAATTAATCTTATTCAAGAATTGTGGCGTTAATGTCTTATCCTGGAGATGTGATATGTCGCAGTGATATTTTAGTAATGCAGAATATATATTCATAATAATAAATTTCATGTAAATGTTAATGTTTACATTTACAACAATCTTATAAAGTGTCAAGCTAAACCTTGGTTATTCTCCAAGAGAGCAGACCTTAGTGTGGCAAGAGCAATCTACAGGAAGAGACTGCTTGGGAAGTTGTAACATTATGAAATTGCACAACATATCCTACAAAACACTATATAAAATAATTACCAAACCAGTATTTACAACAGATCATCTCCACCCAAGAAAACTAACGTAGTATGTCATCTGTATAATATCATTCCGACAATCACGCACACTGAAAAATGCACGACTGTATCGGCAATGGTTGCTTAATTCATCAAAAGCACTTTGGCATAGCTGTGAGCTCAGGTACCCGACTAAAACGTCAAGTGCCTTAGTGAGTAAAGACCTTCAGCACAATATGACCCATATATGAGGCATGGAATGAATATACTCCTATCACAATATGAGTACATGGGCAAAAGTAGAATAGAATGTATAATACATAGCAAATAAGTTAAGGAAAAATGCCCATTCCTAAAATATTCCCATCATTAAAAAAGTTTATAAGAACAATAAAAAGGGGTCAAAATGCCCAGTTGTGACCAACTATATTACAAGGCATTGTATCTCAAGCTCAGGGGCTCAACTGGGACCAGTCATTAAGATGTTAAAATGTAAAAAAATAAAATACCAACTCAGTAGTTCATTTGAAACTATAAATAACCAAGTCAGGACCTATCAATAAATTGTATATCATATTTCATCATCATCATATTTTGCAATCAACATACCCACTATGTTATTAACATACTGAAAATCATTTGTCACAGACCATTCTTTTTTTCTCATAACTGGGCACTTTCTGCAATGCGTGCTAAAATCTGGTGAACACGTAAATTCAGATCTGCATCACACTGCCTTGCTGGAGAGCCACCTTCACTCATTGATAATGATGGCTGGGATCTTCCTAACTGAGACTGTGACTTCTCCATGTCAGAATTTCCTTTAGTGCACCTACCACTTATATTATCTTGTTGAAAAGCTGTTGTAGATTTTAGACTGGTAGTCATATTTCTTCCACTTTTTGGCAATTCTGAGTGGGAACTTGAAGTTTCTTGAACCATAGAGAGCACAGAAGGGCGGTCAATGCTCTTAAATCGTACAGCACCATTCATGACACGTAGCTTACTTCTCATCTTTCCAACAGCCTCAAAACCCGGAGTTTCATCTTCCAGGGAATCGGCCATCCACTGCTGTGTACTGCTTTCTGTGTTAACACACTCTAGTGCCTTTTCATTTTTGGTATTACCAAGGTTAACTTTTTTGCTCTTGAAAGAGGGTCCATGACCAAGCCGAATGGGAACCTTGGATGGGTTTAACCACTTAGGCGAGATGCTAGTAACAGGTGGCAGTCGCTTGTCAGGACTCATTGTCTGAGTTGGAGTCCACATGCGAGCAGCAGGAGGAAGATATTGAATATTCTGGGATGATATTGGATTCCATTCAAAGGCTACTTCTACATGCATCAATTTATTGCCATCATTGAGACTTTCATCATCCATGTTGATACTGTCGTAGAAACCACTACCAGACCCAAGGGATGATGATGGGGATGATGAATTTGACCCACCCCTTAGGTTAGACAATTTAAGCTCAGAGGAGCTACTACTGCTTTCATTTCCAAATTTAAGAACCCTTTTCCCTCCTCCACATGGCAATTTTGAATCATTTACATATTTATTGGATACATCAATTAAATCTTGATTATAAATATCACTGGCACTCATCTTCTTTTGGACAGCCCTCTTAACATTGTTAGAAATATTTCTAGATTTCTGCTCCTCTAATGCACTGAACATCTTGGAAGTAGTAGGCACACGAGAGGTTGGTGGGGAGGAACTTCGTAGGTCGGACACAGTCAATGGGGAACTTGAGACGTCAAAGCCCGAGCTGAGGGAGGAGAGCCGCTGACTGTAATCTTCTGAACTATTCACTGGGCTTGACTTGCTGATAATGCTTTGGTCACGGCAGCGTGTCGGGGAATCCTGCAAAATGCAGCAGCCATGAGCTAAATAAGTTACATTTTATCCATATACTGTATAAAATAATGATTTATAAAAATCAAATATAATTAATAACAAACCCAATAAAAGTTGATATCATAACTTACACTGCAGTCTCATAACACTAATTGCTGTATTAAAGATCTACAAAAGATGCAAAATAAAGTTTACTGAATTTTTTCCAATCATGAATTGAAGCTAAACTTTATCGATTATTAATAAATCAAATATGCCTTATTTGAGTATTTGTGTACAGTATAATTACTACTGTGAATACCAGTCAACTGTGAAAAGGCACTTGCAAATCTACACAAGCAAACTAATGTCATGTCAACACCTGTGCAGGGTAGTGTGATGTGTAACACAAATGTCAAACATTTAAGTGGTGAGCCAAGTTAAGATACAAGTTAATTTTATCACTGCATGAATTCTTTAATGATGAACAAGGACAGAGTTCAGCAGGCACCCAAGTAACCTCAAACTGATAATTGCTGTAACTACAACTGGCCGCATTACGCAAGATGAAAGTTTGTTCCTATTGCATACAGTACTGAGGACATGACAATTTTGTGGATTACTGTCAATCCAAAGCTCAAAATATTATTTTGTAGTTAAATGCAAATCAAAGAAATATAGATGGATAGAGTCAAGATTTCTGAGCACATCCATCATGTCTGACCAAAAATCAGAATATAGTAAAGCTCTTAAAAGAGGCAATCTACTGATTAATGATTTTTCAACTTCATATAAGCAGTTTCTGAAATCCTGAACTTTATTATGGTACAGCCAAACAACACACATTTCATATGGTGTAGTGCACAGTAAAGAGTGCTGTGTAAACAGTGCTGTATAAACAGGGCTGTATAAACAGGGCTGTATAAACAGGGCTGTATAAACAGTTCTGTATAAACAGGACTGTGTAAACAATGCTGTATAAACAGGGCTTTATAAACAGGACTGTATAAAGAGTGCTGTATAAACAGGGCTGTATAAACAGGGCTGTATAAACAGTACTGTGTACATGCCATCATTAAACTGGGCAAGCATGCCTGGCTCTTGAGCATACACACTTAACATTCTCACACATGCTAGCACCAAAAAATGCCAGAAAAAGAGACAACTGGATAATATTTGGAGCTGGAGTACAGTACTGTGGCTGGAGTTGGGATTTTCTACATGAGACTATCACAAAATCCTCCCCTCAGGGCTGCCATTATGAACATTACTAGTGCCCAGCCCTGTATGTAGTTATGCAAGTGGTCAGAAAATAAGCAGCAAAACTGCAAAAACCAATCACTATGCAATGTAATAAGTAAATCAAATATTTTAGTCTTTCAAGAAAATACCATTATAATTTAAATTGAGTAGCAAAGTGGATTAAATAAAAAGATTTTACATATATTCAGGCTGTGCAATTTACTATCTTGAGGGGGGAGGATGCAAGCATTAAGTGCCAAAAACTAATGCTATTTTAAGAATAAATATTGTAACAAAACAGGTTAAGGGCTGAAAAGCTCCCACACCATCTGTTTAATTTTCCTCGGATGTCTACAACCAGGTACCTATTCACTGCTGGGTGAACTAAGGGTACAGTTAAAGATTGGTGCCCGGTCAATCCTCCCCAGCCAGGAAACTTATGCATTTGGCTGATATGGTGATGCAAAATGAAAAGTTTTACCCTTTGATATAAAGTACCGGTACTGAGAAATACGAATACTGTATTTACAATACCAAACTACCATGCAAGCAATTCATTTAATTATTATTAGTCAGTTCTTTAAGACAAATTAAAGGTGATATTGTTGGGTCTGTCAGTCAAAAATTTTAATAAAATTATACAATGGCTAAAAATTTACAAAAATAATAATTATCCTCAAATTTAATAATAAATAATAACATAACACCTTAGTTTTGTTATCAAAATTTTGTTTAACTGCAAAAGAATTTATTTGAAGATTTGTTCCACATTTTTAAAAGAAAATATTTAACATTCTTGTCTGTCTTTAAAATAAAAATACGAAGGCTCATCCACAGTTATACGTGAGCTACAAGTTGCAAGCAGCGTCTACACCAGTGGCCACACCACCGCAAACACCCACACTTTGGATTACATTTCAACTTTCCTTGCATTATGAACTCCTGCGGGCAGGAACTGTCTTCTTGTAAAAGACACCTAGGAGTAAAGAGCTACTTCACTGTGTTTTCCCTACCGCCATCTTGTATTTCCCCCAAACTCAAACTCTATACAACAATCGACAAATGCACTGAAAAATTTGCTGCTTATACAGTATATTAATTTACTGGGCACAATGCCAAACTTGACTAGAACATTAAAGTATATTCAAAGGAAAATTTTAATTTACAAAATATTAATGTACAAGTTAAAATGCATTTACTTCCTAAATAGAGACGGTAGTTAATACGCATTCATCTGTTTTGTCGAAATATTTCAACGTGCTCTGACAATCCAGTAATTATACCACTTATGAACATCATATGTTTGGTGAAGCACTGCATACAGAATACTTCAGAGTTTCCCATCCATGTGCTCATGGGCACATATTGACCATCATCAATACTGCTCCTCGTATTCATCAACACTTTGAGGATTAAAGTGGTCTCCCAAAATTCTACACTAAAAATGTAATGACCAAAGGCATTCACATAAGCTGCAAACAAAAATTAAATGCATTGCTGGGGAATGTCGATCAAATATAAACAGATTTATTCATGCATTTAAGGTGCTGAACTTCCTGTGCATATAACAAATTTACCATGCAAATCTGGAATAATATTTTGAGAGATTTGTAAATAAACTCCAATGATTCTAGACCTCTACCGTGTCAAAAACATTTGTCATATAAACATGATACACAACTGTTAATACTGTAACTATCAAGGTACGTACTGCATTTCATGTAAGATCTTTGAAAGCATATTTTAAAGCAAGGTTTAAATACTGTATCATGTTCATCATATATGTGCTCAAATCAATACATCTGATGCCTTGTTATCCATAGGAGTTCCCTCTCCCTGAGGGTTGAGCCTTGTGTTTGCTTCTTGTATTAAAAAGCCCCTTGAAGGAGTGCTCAAAATATTTGATGAAACCTGTACAAGCCAGTATTACCGTCCCGTACGTAATGCTGCTTGCATCAAGAAGCAAGAATATAAAGAAAGAATGCAGACTGCTCAGAATGAATTAACCAACTGGTTCAAATGTATTCTGCCAAATGAGTACGTATCTTACTTGGTTTGTGAGAGCGATGTCCGGGCCTGTGAATGAGCAATTCATAAACACATCATTCCAGGTTTTACAGTATGAGTGGGCATTGTTATTCCCTTGCTGGGAGTTGTCTGATAAATAACTTCTCTGACAAGGCATGGCAAATGACTCCATACATACCATGCCAACAAGACCCTAAGTTTTATCCCTATATGGTAGAAGACTACTTATTTGTCTCTCATCATCTGGCCAGAAGACAGGCTTCACAAGCCACATTCATATATTGTCCCTGTTGTCCGAACACCCCCCCCCCCTTTCCCCACACACCCATAAAAGGAGGTATTGCAAGGAGTGCAGGTGCCTGCAGATCCATACAAAAACTTACTGTATGTGTAAAAGCAGAACAGTTAACAGGAAAATGCAAAGGGACAATTCAATGAGGAATATCGGTGCATAAAAGAATTTACTGGTAGGACAATATGGAGGAGAAAATGTGGTATTTTGAGAAAGGGAGTGGACAAGTAAGTAAGCAATTATCAAAAGAAGGCACCAAACCGGGAAGGCTATGTAGCACCAACAAATGTGCGGAATAATCAGAGGGCGCTAAATATCACCAAGGATGCCAATAAGCGAACAAAAACGCATAAGGCAGGGAATGGACAAAATGAGTGTGCACATAATAGAGCATACTCAATATGAGGCGCACATAAGAGACAACCATGTAAGATGACTTATCTCTAGTCTTACATTATAGCCTTCAACACCAAATTTGTCACTACAATAGAAGAGCGGCCAATATATGAACTGCCTTTAGAAATTTGAACAGAATTTTTCAGAATTTTGTGTACAATTTGTCCGATCATTTCTGGAATATGTAGCACCAGCATGGAGTCCTTATTGTGTTAAACACAAAACTAAGTTGAAGAAAGTTCAGAGGATACCACAGACTAGTCTGAGAGCTGAGAAGTAAGAGTTAGAGGGAAAGAATACAGATGGTTAGCCTCACATCACTAGTCAGAAGAAACAGGAGACATGATTATCACATATGAAATATTCAGAAAAATAGACAGGGCAGACAAGGGGATTTTTAGCATGGTTTAGCATGAACAAGGAAACAAGGGACATGATACATACAAGATGTAAGTTAACAGACCATATGAAGGCTCTAGCACACAGCTGGCTCCATAGTGAGAGATAAGTGTGAGAGAGGTCAGCAAGGCCAACTGATTCATTTTATAAAGTTTAAGACCATGCACAGATTTAATAAAATACTAAAATAAGATTTGGTGCAAAATTGGAGACAAAATTTCTAGGCTGAGAAAAGCCATTATCAAATTAAAGAAATACCTTGGAAATAATCAATGGTACCTTTACCCTCAAGGAAGAGAGAGTAGTCATTCAACTGTATATGCGCCCCCACCTGGATTATTGCATCCAGGGATGGAGACCTCATCTCTAGAAAGACATAGCTGCTGTGGAGCAGGTGCAACACCAGGCAACAAAAATTATACCAAAACTTAGTCATCTCTCATATCAGGAACGGTTGAGGGCTACTGGGCTTGCGACACTGCAGACAAGGCATCACACGGCAGATCTAATAGAAACCTTCAAAATACTAAACAATTTGGATGATGTCAATCTGGACACTTTCTTCAAAAGGTCAGATGTAGCACGAACAAGGAGCAACGGGTTCAAGCTCAATAAACCACAAGTTATGACAGAAAACAGGTGATGCTTTTTCACCCATAGGGTTGTAAAC